CCGTATTAAAGATTTTTTTTTTTTTTTTTGGTATTACCGTGTTTTTTAATATTTATTATAAAACTTCGTTTTCCACCTGATGAATCAGTTGCAAATTCTATTACTTTCGAAAACTTTCATAATTTGTTGTCTTGTTGTTGAGTTCCTATTTATAGACTTTTAACATAATCAAATTAAGACAAATTACAGCCATGCAATTAAAACCTCCTACAGACAATTTATGATACTTAGGGTAATCATTCACATCATAACTATCTAAAACTTATTCCTCCAATATATTAATTCAACAAAATATCTTCATAAGCACACACTTTCGGCACTCACCGGAGCAATCTTCAGGTGCAATTCGCAGACAAGTTGTTAAGCACAAAGCTGCACAATGGGCTATCTGTGCTTTGCCTACTACAGGTATCGAAATCCAGTTTTTAGTGTCATAAGCCAGCAGACTTGCAGCTAAGCCACTGGGAGCGTGTGACCAAACTGTGGTACTAGGAGCTAATGTCGATTATAATAGAAAAAAAAAGTGGTATAAATATTATAAAGTTTGTAATAAGTCCAATTTGGGCTTTCCATGCACACATATACTCTACTTTTTATTCACTTCTAGACTTATCCTTTATCTTCATAACTTCGCCAGTGTTTTCTCCCCTTCAAACTGAAAACATTCGCATAACATATCCTCAACTGTTTCAAAAAGAATAACTACATCCTTTCCATTAATGGTTAAGTGTAAGGATATTTATGTTCACTACTGGGTTTTCCAGGTTTTTTGTTTGTTTGTTTGTTGTTGCTTCTTTGTTTCCTTTTCAAATTAGGCCTAGGTTTGTAGTTCAAAAACAAAAGTTTAAACAAAACGTATTATGCGATCCTTAAAAGTTTATACATTTATATATTCATTTATCGATTTTATAGAGAGGGTTGTTTTTTGTTTATCTATGGCTACACCTTTACTGGGGTTTGTGGCTATATATGCAGAAATTTGCCTTTATTATTTAAATAGCATTTTATTTTTTATCGAAAAGCAATAAATAATATCTCACTTAATCTAAGTATGTTTGTTTTGAAAGTTTGTATAAACAGTATGTGAAAAAGAAATCTTTGAAATGATTCATGGAATCTGAAAACAAAATGCCACTGTGGAATTAATATATCACCAGTTATGAATCTAAGTAGTGTTTCTGTTTTTTTTTTCTACGTATGCCAGTAATGATTGAAAGAACATAGACTGTATGTATACCCATGCAATGAAAAAGGAAAGTGGAGAAACCTTATCAGTATACCTGGTTGCCAATCCCACTGACTGACCTATACTTAATAATCATTACAGCTATGAAATTTATGTCAATTAAAAATAATTTAACTTCTTCTTGACACATTCCGAATCATTCCTAGTTGATTAAACTATATTTTATAATTGCAAATGTAAAAGCCTGGGAGGAGTTAGAGGACAAACACGCATACACACACAAGCGCAAACGTCTCGCAAGGATATTAAATTACACCTTGTGAGAGCATTATCCTATTAAATTACTTCTGTAAAGTAGTTCGTTCGTACTTTTTTTTTCAACTTCCCCGACAAGAAGTAGCATAATCTTCTCATCTTATAAACTCGGTAGTTCTATCTGTCATCATTAAAATTGGGTGATGTTCCATTTTTTCCCACAATTATAAACTTACATAGAATTCTACAAATGCAATGTAATTCTGTAAACATTTTAATCTTCACAGTATATAATGTTTAATTTCTAATTTTGATCCTTAAGTTTCACCATACTTGCCTGTTTATAATTCTTAAAGTAAATAACAGAAGAACTGTTTGTTTTAGCACAGAGTTGTCCAAAGGACTGTTTGCGATGGGATTACTGCAGGGATCGCTCCCCGATATTTAACATAAAAAATCCGCAAATTTGACGCTGAGCCATCAGGGAGCAACAGAAGAATTAAAAATAAATTATTGTTCTTATAATATATTATACTTGCAACTAAATAGGTAGTTAAATCAATAAGATGTTACGTATTTTTTGTTTGTTCTAGGCGACTGTTGACGAAAGTTAACCAGGTGAAGGGGGACCTGAATGGTTCTATTTAATCAAACATTACTTAAATTTGACGAGATATTTAATTACAGAACAGTAACACCAAAATGAATAACACTATTGTCGCCCAATCGGTTTACTGGGAATTGTTCTGAGTATGTAAAGGGCAAAGTTAAAGATAAGTATAGTTGAAATACCATTAACCCTTCCCAGACAGGTCACGGTTCAAAGGCCATGTCATCGCGTTTGTTGACTCGCATTCAAATTTTTATTAAACTACTATTTCATGAATTTTCGTTAATAAGTTTGGTATCAAACTGTAGATTATAATTCAAATTTTAGTATTATACATTATTCAGTTTCTTAATTTAAAACCAAATATTAAAAAAACACAGTTAAACACTAATTTTTGATACACTTTAGATTGTTTATTCTTTCTACTAATCCGTCTATTTGAAGATACATTTGATAGGAATGCTAGTCTTTAGTTGAGGTGTGTTTTTAAATCTAATTAGCACCTACAATTTATTTGTTGTTTAGATCTAATGACCATATTCCATCATTAAAGTTATCAATTTAGTTAATAGATTGATTAGTCCATGCTGTCAACAATACTGGTTAGATCCACTAAAAGAAAATTGTTAACTCATATAAAAAAAAATGCAAATTTTAGTTCCATTTAACCATTTAACTTCAGTGAATTCACATCGGAATTAGTACTTTTACGAAAACGTCATTGGTGGAAACTAGACCTGTAATCGGCGTGTAATCAGCGAGAACTAAAGGGCTAGCTAGCTCCTTGTGAAGTGAATTATACCTACGTCAACTCGAAATTAACTCGCTCATAGTCAACCCTTGAAAAGATATCAAGGAAGTTCCAGACTAGAAAAAAAAAAGACTTTATTTTTCTTGTAAGGTTGTAAAACTTTTGTATATAAATCATTGTTTGTAATAACTATTTGTAATAACTGTTATTGTAAATTGTATTGTTGTTTGTATATTAAAACATACTTGTATTAAAATATAAAACTGTGTGTATCAATC